AGGCATTTAAATGTCTCCCCGTGGCTTCCCTGGCCTGTCCAAAGGTCGGCTTGCCCGGGTGGCCCGTGGGCAAGCCAAGGGAAGGCAGTTTAACTGCCTCCCCTCCCCACAAAGGGCCGGCTTGTCCAGGCTCCCCGCAGCCATGGGGCGCCTGGGCAAACCAAGGGAAGGCATGGATGTGTGGCCTAATACGCTAATGAGTTTCTGTTGTTGGGTGTGGCCTATTATGCTAATGAGTTCCTGCTGGGCTTTTTCTACAAAAAAAGCCCTGTTTATACCCACAATCAAACTTTGCTGGTCTTAGAGGTGCCACTGGACTCAAACATTGTTCTTCAACCAGATGTATAATTCTGCACAAGAAGTGGACCTGGAACAGAAGGGTTTGAAATATCTTTAAAAAAAGAGAGTGCCTCCAAATTCTGCCCACTGTTCCGACAGGCTCCACATCCGAGCCCTTAGGCACCACACCAGAATCTCAGGATCTGAGTCTCCAGAGACCTGGTGGTGGTCGAAAGTGCCATTGAGTCACAGCTGACTTATGGTGGCCACATAGGGTTTTCAAGGCAAGAGACCTTCAGAGGTGGTTTGCCATCACCTGCCTCTGTGTCACCCCCTGGTCAGTGTTCCCTCTAAGCTGAGTTAGTGTGAGCTAGCTCACAGTTCTTTAGCCTCCGGCTCACACATTTTTGCCTTCACTCAGGAAGGATGGCTCCAGAGTAGGGATGTGCATTGGGTTCATCCGAACTGAACGCAGCCCCGAAAAAGGCCCATTCGGACCCTTTTCGGCCTGCTGCAGGCCGAATCAGATTCTCTGATCTGATTCGGCTTGCTGCCGAATTGCTGCCGAATGTCGGTGGCAATTTGGCCCCATTATATCCTATGACCCATTGAAGTCAATGGTGAAAACATAGGGTATATTCTGGGGGCTGGAGGGGAGGGGGTTTGAGGGAGATGCTCCAAACTCACAGGGTAGCTGCTGGAGCCTCTCCCCAAGATATCAACCAAGTTTGAGAAACATTGGATCAGGGGGTCCAATTGTACGGCCTCCCAAACAGGTTGCCCTTCATTGTTCTCTATGGTGGGGGAAAAGTAACTTTTTCCCCACCTTAGAGAACAATGGAGGGGATAGGGGCAATCTGTTTGAGGGCCCGTAGAATTGGACCCCCTAGTCCAATGATCTTGAGACTTGGTTGGTATCTTGGGGAGAGGCTCCAGCAGCTACCCTGTGAGTTTGGAGCCTCTCCCTCAAACCCCGTCTCTTCCAGCCTCCAGAATATACCCTATGTTTTCGCCATTGACTTCAATGGGCCATAGGATATAATGGGGTTGAAATTGACATTCGGCTGGCCAAATCCCCTAGACTCCGGAATCCCCTCAGGCTGATGAAACTGACATGCGGGAGTCTTTCTGCCAGCCGAAATTGATTCTGCCCAATTCTGCCGAATCCGAGTAGGCCAAAAAAATTTTTTTGCATGCCCCTACTCCAGAGCAGACAAATTTATGCAGCAGCTAAATTGCTCACTCATAACTTCAATGCCAGTAGCTCACAAAGTAGAATTTTTGCTCACAAGACTCCACAGCTTAGAGGGAGCATAGCCTCTGGCATTCCTTGGAGGTCTCCCATCCAAATACAAGGAGGAGGAGGATTTATACCCTGCCCTTCACTTGGAGTCTCAGGATGGCTTACAAACTCCTTTCCCTCCCCCTCCCCACAACAGACACCCTGTGAGGTAGGTGGGGCTGAGAGAGCTCTGAAAGAACTGCTCTTTCAAGAACAACTCTGGAAGAACTGTGACTGACCCAAGGTCACCCCAACAGCTGCATGTGGAGATGTGGGGAGTCAAACCTGGTTCTCCACTGCTCTCTTAACCACTACCCCAAACTAGCCAGGGCTGACCCTGCTTAGCTTCCGAGATCTCATGAGATCAGGCTCGCCTGGGGCTATCCAGGACAAGGCTAGCAAACGGAGAACCAAAATAAAGCAGCATTTTTTCATGTTTTTAGCAGTGCCAAAACAAGACTCAAGAGTCCTGCGCAGTACCTGCCGAGAGGCATTTTTCTCCGCCACACACTTCCTTGATTTCAGTCGGTTTCCTTATTCAAGCCATTCCCACATTTCCCAGTTGCGACGTCGCTCATGTGAAGCCCACATTTCCTGATCGGTCTGCTTTGCTTAATTCTTCTAGTACAATTCTTGCCTCTTTCACCTCTTACTTGAGGGACAGGAGTTGAGCAGGTAAGAGCTTCTTTTCACCCCGAAGTTTCTCTAAGCCAGAATGCCCTTGAATCATTGAGGCTGTTGTCAGAAGCTGAAACTAATCTAAGAAAGGATGATGCACAATCCCGATTTTAATTACTGTGATGCAATAAGTGGATTCCCCGTGTTGCTGCAGAAGAACCAGGCAGGAAATCGGGTCTTTGACAGAAACCTCTGGGAGTGGAAGTTTGTATCTTTGCTTTGAGCTCCCGTAGCTTGGTCGTCTCCCATCACACCCGCCCCATTGCTGATCCACAACACGGTGACATCTTGCCAAGAGGATTCTTCTTTATTTCGACATTCTGCTTCTCTCATAATCCATCAGCCACCCTTAAAAAGAGGAGAGGCAACTCGTGGCTTTATTATTTTTTTTACAATGAAGACTTTACCCAGGGAAGACACAGGTAAGTCTTAGACCATCTAAGGGAACATTCAGATAGGAACTCTCAGGATGGGGCAGGTGGTGCACTGTATTCTTGGTGCTTGGAGGGGGAAACAGTGGGAGAGCTTCTAGTGTTCTGGCCCCAGTGGTGGACCTCCTGATGGCACCTGGTATTTTTGGCCACTGTGTGGCAGAGTATTGGACTAGAAAGCCAGTTTGGTGTAGTGGTTAAGTGTGTGGGCTCTAATCTGGGAGAACTGGGTTTGATTCCCCCACTCCTCCACTTGCACCTGGCTGGATGACCTTGGGCAAGCCGTAGTTCTGATAAGAGCTGTTCTTGGAAAAGAGCAGTTTCTGTCAGAGCTCTCTCAGCCCCGCCTACCTCACAGGGTGTCTGTTGTGGGGAAGGGAAGGGAAAGGAAATTGTAAGCCACTCTGAGACACCTTTGGGTAGTGAAGGGTGGGGTATAAATCCAATCTCTTCTTCTTCTTCTAGATGGGCCATTGGCCTGATCCAACATCGGCTTCTCTTATGTTCTTATGTCCATCTCTTTGCTGTTTTGTTGTTTTTCCAAGCTACAGTTCAGGTCTGACTTTGAGCAGAACAGCTGAAGGGAGAAGTAAGATAAGCAGCCAGCAGCCACAGGGCTATTACTATATGGATTAAATCATGGAGATGTCATGATAAAGTGGAAACTTGCACGGGTAATAGTGGGTCCCAGGTCAAGTTTTTGATGTTCTTTCATAGAATCATAGAATGTTTGAGTTGGAAGGGACCTTGCAAGTCATCTAGTCCAACCCCCTGCACTCTGCAGGAGCATAGCCGAAAGAAGAGGATCTTGGTTAGCAGATAATGGGAGCGATCTGTCTGCCACACAGGTGCCGTGAGTAAGATCAGAGAACACTGATTGGGACAGATTAAGTGTGGTGGTTTGAGATAAGGCGGCATTTTGATGTGGGAAGGGCTGTGGTTTACTGCTAGAGCACATGCAAGTGAACGTCCCAGCATCAGTCCCTACTATGTCCATCAACCAGGGGTCTTAGGCACCAGATGTTTGGAAAGGTTCTTCCTATGACTAGGGTAGCCAACTGTGGTAGGGTAATCCCTGGAGATTTGGTGGTGATGCATGGAGGGGTTGAGCTTTGGGGAGGAAGGGGCTCTGTGGGGTATAATGCCATGGAGTCCACCCTCCAAAGTAGCCATGTTCTCTCTCTCCAGGGAAACTGATCTCTGGAGTCTGGAGATTGGAGATTGGTTGCAACTCCATGAGATCTCCAGGCCCCGCCTGGATGTTGGCAACCCTGATAATAGGGATGTGCATTCAGATATAGCAGAGCCCAATATATAGCCAGAGATATAAATATATATAGCCAGATATATAAATATATATAGCCACATATATAAATGTATAGTCAATGTATAAAAATTATTAGCATTTTTCAGATATATTTGGGTCATAGAATCATAGAATGTGAGAGTTGGAAGGGACCTTGCAGGTCATCTAGTCCAACCCCCTGCACTCTGCAGGAGCAGAGCCGAAAGATAGCCCTACGACATTCCCGAAAGATGGCTTTCTTTTTTTTTTAGCCCCCCGAGGGGGGAATTTTTTATTTGCATTTCTATAAAACTACAACAGAAATTGGGGAGGGAAAATCTACAATCTATAGGAAAAAGTAAAGAAAACCTAACTAAAAACCCAAGAATGGAGGTTATACAATGCTTAAAACATAGTTATTACTCTTATACATTTGCTTTCAAACATGAAGAGTGCCCACCAATCATCGCTTCTGTTGACAAAACCTGCTTATCTGACTGAACAGAGAGTAGTTCCAAAGCTATAACGCAATAATTACAGCCCTTAAGAAAAAGTTTAGCATCACCACGCTTTACTCCCCCCCCAGACATCTTTTAAAACCAATGTTCCCTCAGTAAGAACATTACAACACGTTTTTCTTCTTCCATCTTCAATGTATCTTCTTTCTTCAATTATCTTTTAGTTTCTATAAGTCTGGATCTGTCCATTCATGATATGAACTAAGTTCCTTTTTTCCTGGGAGATCTTTGCTTCCTTAGATCAAAAGAGTCTTTCCTTTTGTTGCAATTACAACACGCTCATTGGAGATTCTAACCTTTCTCTTAGCAAGCAGATCATATAAAGTTAGGGTAGCGAACCCTTTACTCCAAAGAAACTGCTTTTCGATTAGCTTGCCAGTCCAGCCACAAAAAACTAAACTTAGAATCTCCTTGCCATTCATATATCTCTATGATCCACGTACTGTCCCTTTAAAAGTGTAGTTGCTTTTAGTACAGATCCAGATTGCTTCTCACTTTAGCCACCAGAGGGCCCACAATTCACTTTAAAGACAGAGTCTGTGGTTAGGTCACAATCTAACTTTCCGCTGTCTCCTTTCTGAAGACAACATTGGTCCCGCCTCCCTCTTCACCTCTCGTCGCCATCTTTTGGGGATGTTTACATCAGCCGAGAAAGAATGGCAAAGTCTCTAAGGTCTGTTTAAATGCTCTGCTTTCTTTTAGAAAAACTCTCTGCTACAGTCCATCGCCACAGTTTGAATAGTCCCTCCCTCCTTGCTTTCGCATTTGCTTAAAGCGTCAGGAGATAGGGCGTACCCTCCCCCCCTTTGTTTGTACGCTTGTAGTGGAGGGACTTCACTTCTAGGCTTTAGTGTCTCGTTTCAACAACAACTCACTCATCAATCCTTGAATCGATCCAGCCAGGTCCTAAAACGGCCAGGCAGAGAAAATCGCTAAACCTCCAAATGCTTGTTCCGGTGGTCGCTTCTAGTCCAGTACTGGGAATCAGGGTAGGACCTTCAGGGAAGAGAGTACCCCCCCCTGTACCGGCTACCGGCCAGAGGGAGGGCTCTCCAAAGCCCCCTGGCACCATCATGCTCCCTCCTAATCGCCGATTAATGGCACATGTCTCTCGGAGGAACCCAGAGACGCCGCCATCGTTCAAAGTGCCAAAGACCGGAAGTCGAAAGATGGCTTTCTTCATAGAATGTTTGAGTTGGAAGGGACCTTACAGGCTATCTAGTCCAACCCCCTGCACTCTACAGGAGCATAGCCAAAAGATAGCCCTGTGACAAACCCGAAAGATAGTCATCCAGCCTCCACTTGAAAACATCCGGTGAAGGAGCATCCACCACCTCCCCAGGCAATGTGTTCCACTGCTCAACCACTCTTACAGTTAGGAAGTCTCTCCTGATATTTAGCCGGTAACGACTCCCTTGTACTTTCCACCCATTAGATCTAGTCTTGCAATCTGGAGCAAGAGATAATAGATCTGCTCCATCTTCAACATGACCGCCCTTCAAATATTTGAAGACTGCAGTCATGTCCCCTCTAAGCCTTCTCTTTCCCAGGCTAAGCATACCCAACTCTTTCAGCCTTTCATCATAAGACTTGGATGGTATCTGGGATTTTCCAAAATACTGATAAACGGCTCACCGGAAAACCCTGGAAATATTCGAGAGTATCAGGAGGCAGCATTTTTTTTTACTTTTCCTTTATGTATTTATCCATTTTAAAATTTATAAATTGTCCCCTTTATCTGTACCTACTGTGGCTGGTCTTATGACCACAATTACATCTGGAAACTTTTGGATAATGAGCCACCTCTCTGAAATGCCCAAGCCCTACTAGGGGTCACCAGAAGTTACCATGACTTCCAGGCACACATATTCAAATGCTCACCAAAAACACCAACAACACCCCAGAATGCTGATGTGGAGGGGATGTGCCTGTGCCATCTTCCTCCAGAAACAGCTGGATTTGAGTCTGTAATGATTTCTTGTTTTATATGTGTGTATGTCTCTTTAAAAGTTTGGTTGCATGGCTGTGTGTTGGACTAGAGTGCTTGAAGAGACAAGTGTGGTGTGATTGGTGATTGACAGGGGGGGTTGAAAAGTGTTTCTGAGTGGATGAATGGGTATGTCCTTCAGGAGTGACAGTTAGAAGTTGGACAGTTGATGAAGACAGTTAAGGAGTTAGTTCTGAAGTCTGAGAGAGAGACAGTATTGTGTGTGATACAAGAGTTAAGTTCTGTGTATGAAGAAAAGTTGAATGTATAAGGAAACAAGAAAGTAAAGTTAAAGAGAAAAATAAAAAGTCTGAGTGACAGACTGGAGTGAAATAGGAAACCTATATGACCCTGAGTAATGAGTTACAAAGTTACTTGAAAAATCCCTGTCAGAAAGGGAGCAGATCCTGTGGGAGACACAACGAAATTGTTAAAATTATTCACATTACTGGTTACATTGTTCTACACTTTAATTTATGAACTGTTTCAATAAATCTTATTTTATTTAAGTCTGCCAGCTCTGAAAGAAATAATTTCTCAGGAAACACATAGACCCTCATGAAAGCCTAAAACCTCGACCTACCTACCCAGTGATAGCCAAAAGAAAGTATAAAGGTTTGGAAAGCCTAGAATTTCCTGGTGGCAGCCTAACCTACCCAGTTGAACAAAATAAAAAGAACCCTTTTAAAGTGAAACCAGGCCTCCCCAGATAAGGGGTCATCACAGAGTCCAGTAGCACCTTAGAGACTGAGATGTTTGGGGCATGAACTTTCAAGAGTCAAAGCTTCTTCCATCCAATAAGAGATTTAACCCTCAAAAGCTTGTACCCAGGAAAACAACAACAACAACAACACTTCTTGTTCTCTATGGTTCTCCTGGACTTGATTTTTTTTTTTTTTAATTCACCTTCAATTCGTATCCCGCCTTGCTGGTGCAAACTGGCTCAAGGCGGCTTCCACAAGTTAAAATGCAATAAAACCAATAAATACAATCAAACTTCAATACACACAATTACATAAAATGCTAAATAGAAACAGATGGCGGGAAATTTCTATACATGGTCCGCTGGAGAGAGGCTATAACCGGCGTTGTTACATAGGGCTGTGAGAGAGCCAGTTTGGTGTAGTGGTTAAGTGCGCGGACTCTAATCTGGGAGAACCGGCTTTGATTCTCCACTCCCCCACCTGCACCTGCTGGATGA